GATCCTTCTGCCTCAGCCTTCCGAGGAGCCGGAATTACAGGCATGCGCTACCACGCCTGGCTGATTTTTTATTTATTTATTGTAGAGATGAGATCTCGCTGCCCAGGCGGGTCTCGACGCGGGCTCAGGCAATCCACTCACTTCAGCCTCCCAAAGGTGCGGGATTACAGGCTGAGCCACCGAGCCCAGTTTTTTTTTTTTTTTTTTTTTTTTTAGAGACAGCCCTGCTCCTGTTGCCCTGACTGGAGTACAGTGTTGTGATCATAGCTCACTGCAGCTTCGAACTCCTGAGCTCAAGCCTCTCGGGTAGCTAGGACGACAGGGTGCACTACCATACCTGGCTAAATTTTTACATTTTTGTTATTTGTAGAGACAGAGTCTTGGTATGTTGTCCAGGCTTTTCTTGAACTCCTGGCCTCAAGCAGTCCTCCTGCCTTGGCCTCCCAAAATGTTAGGATCACAGGTGTGAGCTACCACACTCAACCTGATTTGCCAAATTTTTTGAAAGGTATCAGCTGCTTTTCTCAAAAGAAGTCATGTAGAGAACTCCCATGTATAAAGCATATTAAAGTGAAATTTCTTGGGATGAGGGGAGGATGAGGTGCTTAGGGTCCCGCCCACTCAGTTCTCAGGCATGTGTGAGGAACCCCTGCACCTGCTGAACCTGGTTTTAAACTATGGAGTCAGGTAAGGGATGCAATGGTAGGCCATAAAAGGGTTGTTAGCAGGGAGTGAAAGGGTCCAAGACCATTTCAGAAAGATGTCCGTGGCTGCTGGGTGGAGTCTACGTTGGAAAGGAACATGAGTAGGATCAAGGAGCGTTACATGACAGCCATTACATAGTCCAGGCATGAGTCGATAAGGTCTAGGCCCAGGGCAGTGGTCCAAGGGCAAAGAGTAGAGTTGGAGTCAAGAAACATTTCAGAGTTAGAATCAGCAGGAATTGGTGACCAATTGCATGTGAAGGATGCAATCTGTGAGGCCTGGACTGCCTGGCTGAAGCACGCTATAGATGGTGATGGCCATACAGAGAAACTGGCTGGCATGAAGAGTAAGAGCTCAGCTTGGGATACACTGTATTATGGCAACTCTGAGACATCCAGGAGTTGGCTGACCAGTAGAGAGTTAAAAATACAAGTCTGAAACGTCTCTCTTGGAAGAGAATGCAAGAGCTAGAGATTAAAACTGGGGAGCTATCAACGTATCAGTAGACAAAAAAGACACGGAGTAGAGAGTGTGCATACAGTTTCCTGAATCGGAAATGTTGGCTTGTGACAATTTGATCTTGATATCATCTTTTCATTGGTGTTATTGTTATTATTATGACAAAATATTTTAGTGAGCAGAGACAATTTGCTGGATGTTTGAAGCGGAAAGGACTCGCTCCTGTTCTCTTAGGACGGACATGTCCAGGATAACAATGCTACACAGAATCACAAGACTACAAGAGAGGTGACCCAGCCTTGCCAGACGCTTCAACTTTCCACATTTGATGAGAGATGGAAGAGGAGAACTGGAGACCCCCTCATCTGATCCCCTAGTGTGGTGGTTCTACATCACTCATGCGGCATGCAGCAGACACTGTCAGAGTTTTGCCTTCTCTGCTAGATAGTAAGCTCCTTGAGAACAAGAGCTCTGAGACCATAACGCTTATAAAGCTCTTAGCACAGTGCCTGGCACTCCTTTGATGATGGCTAAACGATTCATTCTTCTTATTCCTTTGAATTCTTGACAAGAGCTACAGGGCACTTTATACACATCAGGTACCAAAAAACCCCATCCATGCGGTTAGGATCAAGAAGCTCGTGGCACTCCGACACTCTTGCCACAAAGCAGTTGCCTTTATTTTTCTTTTCTGTTTCTTTTTCCTTCCTTCCGTCTTTCCTTCCTTTCTCTGCCTTTCCTTTCTTTCTTGTTTTTCTTCTTTCTTTCTATATTTTTTCTGTCGTTCTTTTCTTTTTTTTTTTTTTTTTTGTTTAAACACAGTGCTGGACCCGTAAAAGAAAGTAGAGCGAGCAAGAGAGAGAAAGAAAGAGAAAGGAGATTATCAATCAAGACGAGCTGAGTGGCTGAGTCTTCCAGACTGTTCTCCTTTATAATTTGGAAGCGTGTGCTGTCCATTCCCAAAGTCTGCCCCACAGCCTGGCCCTTGGATAGAAGCGCGGAGGAAAGTTTCTGGGTCAGCAGACCTCCCAGGCAAGGACGCCCCGGCTGCCCCCGCTGCCTCGCCAACACTAAGGCGAGAAGGCCGGCTCGCATGGCTGGGAGACCATCGGCGCCGTCTCCCACCGCCTGGGCCCGCCACACCGCCCAGCAGGTGAGGCAGGTGTTCCGAGGCCCGCTGCCCGCCCGCCCAGCCCCCGCTCGTGCCCGCGCCGCGCCGCGCCGGAGACCGCAGTTCCCTCTGAGATGCCTGATCTGTGTGGCCCGAGTGCTGAGTCGCCCAGCAGCTCGCGCTCCATGTGACTTCAGTTTCCGTCCGTTCCTTCCGCAAGTGCTAAAATAACCTGATGCCCCAGAGAAAGGAGGCAGCCCAGCCCCGCGTGTGGCTGCTCTCGAGGAGGCCGGAGCCCCTGGAGAGGATGCGCCCCGCGGAGCCGCCTGGGCCTGCGGGAGCCGTGAGTATTTCCTGCGTGGGCCCCTCCCCCGTGGGGCCGCCGAGGTGGGCGAGCTCGCGCGAGGCCGGGTGGCAGGAGGTCGGCGTCGTGGCCCGCGGCTCAGGGCTGACGGGAGAGCTGCGGCTTGCTGTGTCGGCGCCGGGTTTGGGGGCCACCCCTCTGAGTGCAGGTGGGAGTACTTCCCTCCAGAAGCACTGAGAGCCGAGAAGGGTGGTGTGGTGGTGTACTGGAAACAACCAGGGCTTCAGAATCAGACGTGGGCTTGAGTCCTGGTTCTTCAGGGAGGGTGTGAGAAGTCAGTAAACTTTTCTGAACCTCAGTTTTCTCATCTGCAAAATGGGAACAACAGTGCTCCCTCCCTGGGTTGGGTGACTGGGTAGAGTAGGAATACTCTGTGAACACTTATGCTGAATTCTTGGATCTCTTTTCCTGCCCACAACGTAGACTGAGCATCCCTATTTCATAGATGGAGAGTTAACAGCAACATATATTTATGGACGTCTCCCATGTGCCAGGTGTTTTCGAGGCCTTGAGGACTCACCCCTGAAGACATGCAAAGCCCCTCCTGCACAGAGCATTTGTCCTCGAGAGATTCCCTAGGGTTCTGTTCCTTGCATCCACAGCTAGTAAGTGTCAGAAGGAGACTAGAAGTCAGGCCCTTCTGACCCCTGGTTGGGACTTTTCTGTAGCCCTCATGGCTTCTCCATGTGGGCTGGGTTCTGAAAGGTCAACACGTATGGCTACATACCTGGGAACTAGACAGAAAGAAGTAAGGCGCCAGCCATGTGGTTTGGTGCTGTCCTCAGAGTGGGGTGCTCTGGACCGGGCTAGGTGATGATTTCTGAAAGCTAGAGATATGAGGAGGAAAAGGGACATTGATACTTAGATCTTATAAAGCCTCACATGCACCTGTAAACCTAAGTGCAGGGATCAGATTATTAGATGGGGGTCTTTTAGTTGCTAATGACAAAAAAACAACTCATATTGGCTTCTCCCCCTGAGAGAGAGTGAACACGTGTCCGATGGTGGCTGGGACCAGAGCTGGGACTGGAGCAGGGGGAGGTAGGGTCCTGTGGGTGGAGCCTCTGGACAGGGCTGGTCGGAGCGGGGCACTTCCAGGGGAGTGAGGGGACCCCACTGTAGGTTTCTTCCTGGTGGACACAGCCTGTTAGGAGCCTGGATGAAACGTTCCAAGTTTATGGAGCCGGCTCGCCACAGTTTCCTGTGCCCCTCTACTTGCTAGCTGTGACTCGCAGACCGCTCCCCTGGATGTTGGTGGCTTGCTGGGCTTTCTAGCCTGGAGACTCATTTATTTTCCCCACATACCCCATCGGCTTGTATGTGGATGCTGGAAAGTTCCTAGAGGGGATTATAAAATTGTGCACCCAGGAAAAAACCTCTTGCTTTTAGGTTCAAAGGCACAACAAAAACCCAACTTCATGAAGAAGGTGCTTTCATCTCATGGGTGCCCTCGTGGGAACTTCATGAAAACCCACATAAACGTTATCCCCCATAGTTTTTAAAGCCATCACCCGAGAGCGGGAACTCCCAGGCAGATAGTAGATTCCTGTTGTCTCTGCCCTGGGGACCTGGGTTGGGGATGCATTGGCCTGTCTGTATCTGGTCTTCAAGACTGTTTTGGAAGAATGCTGCTAGGACTGATGATAACCTGCATTCTGGCTACAGTGTGCATCCACCCTGCAAAGTGTATACACTGGGTTAGCAGACCTTTTGTGGATGAGTAATGTGCCTTACATGCTCAGATCCACTTTCTAGCTGTGTAAGTCAGGAGGGTGGGCTTTCAGCTATGACTGAAAATCACTGTCTTTCTCAGGACTTGCTTGTGTATAACATCCTTACAGGTGTCTTCTCGTGCTGATGCTCATTGATGTGTCATTGCACATTAGTGACAAATATTCATTTTTTTGTCTTTGGTAGAGTCTCTTTACTATACTTGTCCCCCCGCCCCCCGCAAAACCATTCTTCATTATGGAACAAATGTCATGTGCTAAATTTGTGGGGGGCTCTGGGCTGGGGTAGGTGATGATTTCTGAAAGCTAGAGAGGTGAGGAGGAGGAAAAGGACATTGATTTCTGTCTTTATTCCTCAGCTTTGCTTTCCTTTGTGTGGGCTTCGTTATCAAGCAGGTGCTGGAGTTGGTTGTAAAGATGGCTTTCTGTGGCTTCGAATTTATTCCCACCAGTTTGGCATCTGAGGCAGAAAGAGAAAGCCTCTTTTCTATTAGTTCTAGCAGTTATCCTTTGATGGATTCTCATGGGCTAACTTCTGTGATGTGCCTGTTGTTAGGAAAATGGGATGCTCCAATGGGCATCTTGGAGGGGTCAACCAGGAGTTGGGATCAGACCCAAACAAACACGGACTTCTTTTTTTTTATTTTTTGAGTTGGAGTCTCACTCTGTCACCCAGAGTAGAGTGCAGTGGCCACTCCCGGCCACCGTAGCCTCAACCTGCTAGGCTCCGGTAATCCTTCCGCCTCAGCCTTCCAAGTAGCTGGAACTACAGGTGCGCGCTACCACACCCAGCTAATTTTTGACTTATTGTAGAGATGAGGTCTCGCCAAGTTGCCCAGGTGGGTCTCGAACCCGTGGGCTCAGGCAATCCACTCACCTCGGCCTCCCAAAGCGCTGGGATTACAGGCTGAGCCACCGAGCCCGGCTCAAACATGGACCTCTTAAGAAAGGAAGGGGGTTGGTTGCTCACCACTATGGGTGTGCTGAACACCACTAAACTGGTTGCTTAAAGATGCTTAAGATGACATATTTTGTGTTATGTGTATTTTACCACAATTAAACTAAAAAGAAAAAAGAAAGAAATGGGGTGGTTTTCTCAAAGGGGAATTGAGGAGTTGTAACCAGAAGGAGAAATGAATGTGGTTGAAAAAACCAATTTCCAGAGCAAATGGAGTCAGGGGCTGACACCAAGACACGTGTGTCTCTTCTCACTTTAATGCGTGAGTGATTTCAGATGTAACAGAGGGAATGAAGGAGGAAGTAGAACCTTGTCATGGTTCTTACCCATGAGGTGGGCATGGGCTGACACCAGTGATGGGCTCAGTGTGGCCACAGAGCTCTGTGAGGTCACAGGGACTCCCCTCCTTCAGCCCCACCTCGGTCAGGTGCTGTGTCATGTGTTCAAAGTCACTTTCTGCTGCCATCCAAGAAAGATAAGAATTGGGAGGGGGTTTCTCCTCAGGAGATAGCACTTAGGGCTCTGTCTTTTCTCCCTGGCTCTTCTCAGCCAGGACCTGAATGTCAGAGGCAGCCCAGTACCTGCAGGGACTCATCTTGCGGTACATACATCATGTTCTCCCATTAATTTCATGTTGCCCCATTTCAGATGGATGCTGACTCCCCCCTGAACCTCTCTGCTGTCACTCACTCCTCTCCTGGTCCAGCCCTGATCCTCTCAGGCCTCTCCTGCCTTTCAATGTCTCTTCTTGGTCGTCCCACTAGGTGTCAAGGGCGAGCTCTCTCCCTCATCCTGCGGGGTCAGTGGTGAGTGGGTCTTTCTCTGCCTGGCCCAGGTCACCTCCTTCAACTTCAGGCAAGTGAATGATCTCCTGTCACTGCCCAGCCTGGCGCCCTGAGACCTTCCCTTGGGACTCTTCCCATGGCCATTCTCTTGTTCTAGGGTATTGGGTCCTTCATCAGGTCCTTAAACCGAAGCTTCTATTTGACTTCTTATTTCCTAAATCCCTGTTTTTTTTTTCTGGGCTCCCTGGTTCCTTTTGAAGACCTCTGACAGGTCTGCATCTTACCTCCTCCCCGCAAGAGTCTGTGGCCCCGTGATGCACTCAGGTGTGCGATTCAGAATATGAGGCACCACATGGCTCGACACTGACCAGTCAAGAAGTAGCATCCGAGGGGCCTCTGCTGGATCACGTGTCACCTACTGGTTGCTGGATCATGGTGGGGGACCTAGGAGTACCAAGAGAGACCAGGCATCTGGGGTGGGAGCTCATGGGATTGCTGTTTACCAACAAATACATGCCTGTGCACCCCCGGTGAACGTTCACTTGACACACACTGCTCCAGACAGATGCGCATCCAGCACCTGCTCTCTGGGTCTGAACTCAGTTCTGGTTGTGGCTTCACTGAATACAAGCTTATGACTTGAGCAATCTGCTTTGGCCTCTTTGAGTCTAGGATTACTTATGTGTAAGATGAAATAGTAAGCAGGGACTCAAACAAATATTTGTATACCAATTATCTTAGCAGCCCTATTTGCGATAGCCTAAAGGTGGACATAACCTAAATGTGTCTCAGTGGATAAACAAATTGTGCTATATACATACGATGGAGTGTTACTCAGCTTCAAAAAAGAAAGAAATGCCGATACATGCTATGACATGGATAAGCCATGATAACATTAGTTAAATCAGATAAGCTAGAGAGAAAAGGACAACTAGTACATGATTTCACTTATATTAATACTTACAATAGGAAAATTCATAGAGAAAGAAAGAACGGTGGTTACCAGGGGCTGGAAAGGGGGCAGTGGGAAATTATTGTTTAATAGGTATACAGTTTCATGTTACTGAATTGCACATTCAAAAAGGGTTGAAGTGGCAAATTTTTTATTTATTTTTTATTTTTTTTGAGTTGGAGTCTCACTCTGTCACCCAGACTGGAGTGCAGTGGCCGCTCCCGGCCACCGCAGCCTCGACCCGCTGGGCTCTGGCGATCCTTCCGCCTCAGCCTTCCAAGTAGCCGGAATTATAGGCATGCACTACCACGCCCAGCTGATTTTTGATTTATTGTAGAAATGAAGTCTCAGTGCCCAGGCAGGTCTCGAACCTGTGGGCTCAGGCAATCCACAAACCTCAGCCTCCCAAAGGCGCAGGATTACAGGCTGAGCCACCGAGCCTGGCTTGAAGTGGCAAATTTTATATATATTTTAGTGTAAGAAAAATGGAAATAATAATGCCTACTACATAGAACTATTGCAAATATTACATGTTGTAAATATTAGATGTCTGT